CCCAGCGCTCCTGCCACACAACCAGGAAAGCATTATTTGTCATTCCAAGTATCAAAGCAGTAAATTTCATCCAGGATGAAATAGAGCTGTTGCCTTTGTAGACGTGATTCTGTTTACCATATCCAAATACTTGATTCCGGAATTAGCCTTTATTCACTCTCCGTATTATCAAAAACTACACATATACATATAAAAACACCTGTGATTCTTCCTACCTCAATGTCGTGCTCAGTAGTCTCTATGGATCCAGATATGGATCTAAATCCATTCTTACCCTTCCAGGCTCCTTCTTGAGAACTTCCCCAGTCCTCAGAGATCTCAAATCTTTGGAGGTTCACCTTGCTCTGCAGCTCAGGAGGCCAGAAGGTGTGTCTTACACCTGCTGGAGGCACTTTTCCTTTTCCCGGAGGCACCCTGTCTACTGTTGGGTTTAGAGCACCCATTCAAAACACGGACAACCAAACACAAGCCAATCTCATTAAAGAAAATGGTGGAACATCTTCCTAGAAGAGCAGCTCTGGTTGCTAAAACAGAAAGAGGAACCTGCATCCCTGCCTCACAGGCCACCCAGAGGATGCCCTGGGCTTCTCCCACAGCCTCCCAGCACCCCCCCCAAGATTCCAGTCTCAGCATACCTTCTCAAATGCGAACCTGACCGTGCACTTCAGTGCAAACAATCTTCCTAAGCGCCCTCCTGGCAACAGTGAAAATTCTTAGCATGGAGTATAAGCCCTTCAAGGTTTGGCCCCTAGAGTCCTCCAAACTTGAACCCTCTGTCTTCAATCATTGGCCTTAATAAGGGCGCCCAGGTCGCTTCAATCATTGGCCTTTTCCACATTAGGCCTTTGCATGTGGATCCTTTCTTTTTTTTTTTTTTTTAAAGATTTTATTTATTTATTTGAGAGAAAGAATGAGAGAGAGAGCATGAGAGGGGGGAGGGTCAGAGGGAGAAGCAGACTCCCTGCCGAGCAGGGAGCCTGATGCGGGACTCGATCCCAGGACTCCAAGATCATGACCGGAGCCGAAGGCAGCCGCTTAACCAACTGAGCCACCCAGGCGCCCGCATGTGGATCCTTTCTGTCCTAACACTTTCTCCCCAGCTCCTCCCTGCTTTCACCAAAGCCAACCCCTACCCATCCTTTCCTTCTGGGATTCGCTGTCCCTAGAAGTCCTCCTGAATTCCCTGTAGAGAGGTGATCTCCCTACATGCTTCCACTGTACTCCAGATTTAGCCTCCACTGAAAGGAATCAAGAGCTGATTATCCCTGCTGGAATGAATGGATGTTTATGAGGAAAAGGACCATTCTATTTTATTTGCCTCTGTACCTAGCAAATGCCTGGCAGAGTAGGCTGTTGTTGAATATTTATTGAATAAATGAATGCTTTTTCTTTTAGAGTCCAATATATGGTCGAGCCTCACCAAATATTTGAGCCTCTAGGCAAAACAACCAGGTTGAGTGAAAAGGGGGTTACCCTCTCTTCTTACACGAACTTGGTAGCTTAAAGAGAAGCCAAGATGCGGGACACATTCCCCCAAATCCAGATTGTGAGCAGTGACTGGACCATTCAGGCCAAGGAACAATGCCCCCCATCACTACCCAGGGACAATCCCGGCAAATATGCCCAGAGACTGTACAAGGGGTCACCTGGCACAGGGACGGGGCAGGGATGGGGCAAGAGCACACTCCCTCAGCTTCAGGTTTCCAGCCCAGGAAGGAGCCTAAAGGAAGGAGATGTTTTTTTACAGGGTCAGTTTGATAACCCTGTTCTCTCTTCTCCGGCCAGGAAGCCATAGAAGGCAGTACAAGAGATGCCAAAGTGGGGATCACAGAAGCAGGAGCGGAGAGGAGGGATAACTTGGCCCTCCGAGTTCATTCTTCATCCAGCATTTACTGACTGCCTACTCTCTGCCAGGCACAGTGCTAGGCCGTGCGGATACAATGTGAATAAACAACAGTTATGTTCTCTCCCTTCGTGCAGCTTACTGTCTAAAGGTGTGACTAGCATTACTCAATCACATAAGTAAATTGAATGTGCATCTTTAAGTTACTTCAAAATAATAGGCTCAGGTTATGAGTGTATAGAGGTTCTGGCCCAATTAGAGATGGTATGGAAGGCGTCCTTGAGGAAGTGACCAGTGACCTTAGAGCTGGAGGGAGAATAGGAGTACATTAGACAAGAATGGAGTTGGAGTTTAGGGGTGTTGGAAGAACAATAAAGCATTCCAAGTACAGAAAACTGCATGAGTAGCCTTTCCATCTCCATTAAGTTCAAGAACGACTTCAAGTTCAGTTCTGTAGGCTCCATCTGCTTCTTCTCAACCCAATATCCATATTTTATTTAAAGAAAGAGGCTAGGGAGTGGACGCGTGTGTGGGGACTGCCGATAGGAATTGTAGGTGGCAATGAGAAGCTAGGGTGATCAGCCCACACCAAGCACCCTAAGCTCTGGGAGCAACCATCCCCATGTGAGGAACTTCAAGGCATGAAAAGGCAGGTTCCTCTCCAACTTGGGAGCCCGCTAAAAAGAAGGGCCAGCAGGAGGCCAGCGCCCCTATAGAGTGCACGGATCCCCTATTTCAGGAAGAGCATGGCGCAGCAGCTATATTTGAAAATCGAGGTAAACAAGAGCTCAGCTCAAGTGGATGGGGCACAACAGCTGTGGAAGATTAATCACAGGCGGCTGCAAGTCACCGGGTCGCCGGAGGCCCGGAGGCTTCCCTTTCGGTGCCCCACCGGTAGGCCGGCTGCGTACCCATCACGTACCCGCAACTCCCTCGGTTCCGTGTTTCTCGACCACCCCGGAGCTCGGAGCCTGTCTGCCGGCTGCAGCCTGCCTTACTGACAACCCGCCCCGATTTCAACCCTCTGCCCAGGAGACTGAACCAGCAAACGGTCAGGGTTTTTAGTCGCCAGAAAAGATGAGTGAGTGAGAGACGGAGGGAGGGAGGGAGGGGGGAGAGAGAGAGAGAGAGAGAGAGAGAGAGAGAGAGAGAGAGAGAGAGAGAGAGAGAGAGAGAGAGGCGGCCAGCCGGCGGGTAAATTTATGGCACTGCATTAAAGGCATTTGTTCTATTTAACCAACTCCCCCTCCCCGCACTCCCTCCACCGTTAAAAATAAAACTCAATGAATAAAGACGAAAACTGCTTCCCTGCCCCCCCCCCCACGTCCCCGTCCCCCCCCCCCCGAGCAAATCGCTTTCTTCATCTCTCCCAGTGGCTCGGGTCCTCGGGGCAGGTCAGGCAGGGTCTGCAGAGCACAACTAGCCTCCGAATGAGGGCCTCTGGGTGCTTGTGTGTGTGTGTGCGCGCGCGCGCGTGTGTGTGTGTTGGGGAGGGTGGCGGGGGGGGTAGTTACACGCCTCCCTTCTCTCCACCTGGCCGCGGCCCGCCCAGACCCCCGCGGTCCGGAGGGCCCAGGACGCGAGAAACCCTGCCTCTCCCCGCCCCCTTGGCCGCGGCGGGTCGGTGAGCCGGGGCTGCAGTTCCCGACCGGCGGCGGCGGAGTCCCGAGGTCGGGCGCGCGCGTGCGTGTGTGCAGGCGGGCGCGCGCCGCGGGGAAACGCGCTCGGCTCCTAGCCCCCGACCCCGGCGGGCGCTCACAGCCCCGGGAGCACCGCACGCCCCCGCCCCGCCAGCACACAGGCACACATGCAGCCGGCCCGCGCCGCAGCGTTCAGTCTCCCCGGTGAGCACCCGCCGCCCCAGCGCACACACACGCCCCGGCGTCTCGTTCTGCCCCCCCCGATCCCCCCAGACACTCTGCCACCAGGCCCCCCCCCCAGCTCCGCAGACAAAACGTTCACTTTCCGAGGCACCCTCCCCCCACCTCTGGAGGCACTAAACCCACAGGAAGACAGCTCGTATGAATGATCGTGAGAAATAACTTAATTAACACCAGCATTCACAAGCGGGAACCCTCCCGGGGGCAGCCTAAGCCCCCAGCCTCGGCCGCCCGCTGAGGGGGAAGGGCAGGAGGTTCACCCCATTACTCACCGTTTCCTCCCGGTCTCCCGAGCGGAGTGGCCAAGTGAGGGGGGAGAGGAAGGTGCGCGACGCCCCGCCGCCCGGCTGCTCAGCGGCCGCAGCGGCTCATCGCCCCCGCGGGCTGCCCGCCGGCCGCAGCCGCGTCCGGGGCATGTCAGTCGGCCTCGGCCGCCGCCCGCGGGGCTCGTGGGCTCGCAGCCTTCAGGGGGACGCGCGGGCTGCGGCCAGGGCAGGGGGCCTGGGGAGGAGCGGGGAGACCCTCCCGAGGACCCCCGGAGGGGCCCGGGCCGGGGCGCGGGCTCGGGACTGAGCCCGGGGAGGCCCGGAGTCCCGGCCGCCGGCAGCGGGGGGATCCCTGCCGGGAGCGGCAGGAAGGCGGGCGGCCCGGCGCGCCCTGGCGGCTCGGAGGGACCCCGGCTCGCGGCCGCGTCGCCGGGGCTTTCCCGGGGCTGGGCGCGCGCCGGCTCTCCGCCTGGCACGCCGTCACCGCGGGGGACGTGTCGGCCTCGCCGCGCGGAGGGGACGCGCGGAGGGGCTGGTTTCTGGGCGAGCCGCGAGCTTTGCCCATTAAGCTGCAGCGCGAAGCCAAATCAAAAAGCCAATCTCCAAGCCTCCCAACCGAACGCCACCCTATCAGCTGGGAGCCAGGGAGCCGCACCGAGTGACAAGCCGCGCATATTTATCCTCGCGCGCCGAGGGGGGATTTTCAGATAGCGTCCCGAGCGGCCGCGGGGAAGTGGACCTGCGCCTCGCGGCCCCCAGGCCCCGGCGGCCCCCTGCGGACGGGAGCCCTCGCCCGCGGCCGCCCCCAGTCGCCGGAGCCCGGCGCCCGGCTCCTCCCGGCCCGCGGCGGTCCCGAGACGGCGGCGCGTCCTGACCTGGATTCCGCGGAGTCCGGGGCTCCGCGCGGCGGGCGGGGAGGGCGGCCAGGCGGGCGCGCGGCACCGGCTTTCCTCTCGTCCTCGGGAGACGCCGCCTGCAATTCCGAAATTCAGTCTCCACCAACACATCTGTGGTTTTTAAATATAGCAGGGGACGATTACCCAGGCAGGGTCCACCCAGGCCTAAGGGAGGAGTTGAGGGGGATGGAGGTTGGCCGGGGAGGGAAAATAAAACTCCCTTTTTCCCCTCTTTTTTCCTTCTGTTCTTGGTGCAGGACTCAGTCTGTCATTTTCTCGACCCAGATCAAACAACGGCTTGCGAGAGACGCTTGGGTGAGCGCTGGTATGTTGGCTTTTGGGTTTTTAAGGCTAAAAATAAGAGGGGGCTGCCTCCCAAATTGCTGCTTGCTCTGGGCCTGGAGCCTGGAGGAGAGATGGTCTTTTGAAGCGGCTGCAGAACTGGGGTTTGGGGCTTGGCTCAGGCAAAAGTGTACACACGGAACCTGAAAGCAGATGCCTGTAATTTCTTCTATATTTGTCAGGCGTGGTCCTGGAGGCATGAGGGTTGGGCAGGCCTCCCCTAAGAATGAGGTTTCATCTAGTTTATCGATGGCATTAGGCAGATCTAAAAAGAGCACGGTGGCTGGCTGGTCCTTTGTAGAGGCACCGCTATGGATTCTGGGGCAGGATCACAAGGGTGGGAAGTTGTTCCTCTCAGGCCTCTCTGCTGCCTGAAGCGGGTCTGAGGGGCCAACAAGGAAGAATAATGCTTAGCAAGGATCAGTACCTCCTTAGGGCTGGCAGCCTTGCTAATGAATTTGATTGTATTATTTCATGTCATCCTCATAAAACTCCGTGAGCTAAGTACAGTTACTAACTCCACATTCCTGTTGAGGAAACTGAGCCTTGGAGAGGCTAAAGAACCATCCCAAGGCCACAAGCAGCAGAACCAAGGATTGGAAGAAGGTGGAACCAACTGGAATTTCTCTGATAATCACAACCGTATGTGCAACTTCCAGGATCCCTGAGGGACTGTTCTGGAACAAGGATTGGTGCGAAGAGACAGGTGGGTGTAGGAATTAGAAAGCGACTGAGCCTGGGATGATGTGAGTTCTTTCCTGATCCCTTGACTCAGTGCTCCTTCAGCAAATAATGTGGTGGTTTCCATCCTGAGTTTGAGTCCTTCGATGTGCTCCTAACTGAGCCTTGTGATCTCAGACCCCTGAACCTTCATGGCCCTTGAGTTCAGTTAAGGTTAGGGCCGAAACACTGAATCTGTAAGATTTCAATAACTTCTAAAGTTTGGGATTTCAGGATATGTCATTGGTGGGATTTTCCTTGTATCTGTTTCTATGGAGATCCACAAGGCTGATTGGTCTATAGTCAAGACCAAGAGATGGCTGGTGGGTGCATAAATTGGTATCGCTTTTAGGAAGGGCACTTTTGAAAGATATATCAAATTCCTTAAAAAATATGAACCTCTTTTGACTCAGTAATTTTACTGGTAGAAATTTATTCTATGGCAAAAATGAAGAATGTGCTCAAATACTTAGTTACAAAGATATTCCTGGTAGTGTTTATAATAGCAAAAAATTAGAAACATCTTAATTTTCAAACAGAATTGGTTCAGTAGATTGTGTTACATGACATAATGGTGTATTCTACCACTATAAAAATGCTGGTGCAGCATTCCATGTATTGACATGGAAAGGTTGCATGATATGTTATTGAGAGAGAAGAAAAAACAAAACATAGAATGTGACACTCTGTGTGTGTGTGTGTGTGTGCATGTCCTAGTAGCATAAAAACACCAAAATGCTAATGGTAGTTATCTTTGGGTGGTGGGATTCCTAGTGATTTATTTTTCTGTTGAAATCAACTTTATTGAGGCATAATCTATATACAATAAAATTCACCTCTTTTTAAAAAGATTTTATTTATTTATTTGACAGAGGGAGAGAGATAGTGAGAGCAGGAACACAAGCAGGGGGAGTGGGAGAAGGAGAAGCAAGCTTCCGGCGGAGCAGGGAGCCCGATGCGGGGCTCGATCCCAGGACCCCGGGATCATGACCTGAGCTGAAGGCGGACGCTTAACGACTGAGCCACCCAGGCCCCCTAAAATTCACCTGTTTTAAGTGTACAGGTTGATGGGTTTTGACTGCAGCACAATCAAGATACAGAACATGTACGTCTCCCCTCAAAGGTTCCTAGCCCCTTGGCAGTTATCCCTCCTCCCCTCAAGCAACCATTGATCTGCTTTCTGTCACTATAGATTAGTTTTGCTTTTTCTAGAATTTTCTTCTTTGTGTCTATTTATAGCTCTTGCTCTTTCTTCAAGGACCATTACCCATTCACTAAAACAACAACAGTGACAGTACACACAGAATTGGTCTTGTCCTTTTTCTAGAACTACCCAAAACTGACAGGCGCTTCATCTTCTTCTCACCTGTAGCAGGGTGTGGCCAGGCAGGAAGGTGGGAGGGGAGGGGAGCAGCTCAGCACATTCAACCACTGCTAGAGGCAGAGTGACTGGCGAGGGTTATCTGACTTCTGGGCAGGCTGTAAGAACCAGACCCAGTTCTGCGTTCTGAGCCTCTGTGTCCTCACCAGTAGCATGGAAGAAAAAATAGTAACAACAGTAACATCCACTCGTGGGGTTGGTGTGAGGGTTCCCTGAGATTACAGTTTCTGATACAGAGTACTTCTCAAATGTATGTTAATTCACTCTTTCTCCCCCTTACCCTGCTTGCCTCCCACTGGAAGCTCTGCAACCAACTCTCTCCTCTGAACACTGGACAGAGTCCCACTTTTTTCCCTTCTCTCCTACATGCATACAGGGTTTAAAACAACAACAATAACAACAGTAATTCTGATGACAGTGTGCCTTCAGTTTCTGCCACTGTTTTTTCCCTAATTTCTGGTTGTGGTCGGACTCAAGGAGATCACAGGAGAGCCAGCAAGCAGGCTATTTGTTGTCAGCAGCAGGAACAAGACCCGCAGACTTCATTTTCAAGTTAGGAGGACACTGAGGCCAGAGAAGTGGGGGGATTCAACCCAATCACAGAGCTCACGCAGCAAAGACTGGTTGGAGTCTGTTACGGGCTGCACTGGGACCCCCTACCCCCAAACGCGTAGGTTGAAATGGTAACCTCCTGTACTTCAGAATGTGAGGGCCAAGAGATAATTGAGTTAGATGAGGTCATTAGGGTGGGCCCTAATCAAATGACTGGTGTTCTTATAAGAAAAGGACGAGGACACAGGTAGGCAGCGGGAAAACATGTGAAGACACACCAAGGAGGCAGCCATCCGCAGGCCGAGGAGAGAGGCTTTGGAAGAAATCAAACCTTCTGACACCTTGATCTTGGACTTCTAGCCTCCAGCCTGTGAGGAAATAAATTTCTGTCGCTTGAGCCACCCAGTCTGTGGTATTTTGTTATGGCGGCCAGAGCAGACTCATACAGAATCCGAGTATTCTGGCTGATTCTCTGAAGGTTTGCTCTCTTCCAACTTCAAGGAGTTCCTTCAGGTTATTTGGAACCTTGAAACAACCTGGATTTTGGAATTTAACAAAAAGGAAGGAAACCAGGTTTTACTGGAAGCCTGCTGTCACACGGTGCTGTGCCCTTTTATGTGTGTTACTTCGCTCTTTAGGTGTTTATGGAACACCTTCTATGTGCCAGGCACGATTCTGAGTGCTGTGGACACAGCTACAGACAATGAAAGTAAAATCCCTGCCTTCATAGAACCTACATTCTAGAGGAAGAGACAGATGATAAACACGAATGAACAAAATACATGGGGCTATGGAGAAACAATAAAGCAGAGGAGAAGGGTAAGGGGTTGCCAAGGGAGGGAGGGGAAATCCTTAGGCTTTTTAATTGAAGAGAGTTGGGGAGTTTGTCCTGGAAGCTTCAATGACAAAGAGGCAGTTGAGTGAGCACTCAAAGGAGGAGGGGGAGGGAGCTATGCTGATGCTTGAGGGAAGAAGGTTCCAGAACGGCAACCTCCAAGACTCCTAAGCAGGAGTATGCCAGATGTGTTCAGGAAAAATGTTATTTAGACCTCACGTCCACATTGGGAGGTGCATAGCATCCCTTCATCTGGAGAAGAAGAAACCTCAAGTGGGAGAAGTCACTCCCATGAGGTCACCCAGACAAGAGCAGGTAATGCCCTTCTTTCTCCAGAGGCTGGGAGCACAATAGGGCAGATGGGATGAATATGGAGAGCCCTCCACGTGGTTTCTTCTTTGTTAGGCCCCATTATTTACCATTACGCCCCAGGGCTACACAAGTTGGTGCCTCTCCAGACGCAGGGCCTCAGGCACTTCACCAGGAGCAGCCCTGCCTGCCCCTGCGGCCTTTAGCTCTGCTTGTCACAGGCATCGCTGTACCCAGGTGCCAGCCTTCCAGGGCCCTGGGACTATAAAATCTGAGAGCAGTTGAGGAGAGGCAGAAGCAGACCATCAAGCTGAAGCTTAAAGTAAGCTCTGGAACAGCTCTGGAGGAGCGAGAGAAGTTTCATAAGGAATGTTTGATAGTAGGGTAGTTTAGTAAGATATAATTCTTCCCTATGGGTTATAGAATTGTTTTTTTCTTTTTTTTTTTTTAAAGATTTTATTTATTTATTATTTGAGACAGAGAGAATGAGGGAGACAGAGAGCACATGAGAGGGGGGAGGGTCAGAGGGAGAAGCAGGCTCCCCGCTGAGCAGGGAGCCCGATGCGGGACTCGATCCCGGGACTCCAGGATCATGACCTGAGCCGAAGGCAGTCGCTTAACCAACTGAGCCACCCAGGTGCCCCTAGAATTGTTTTTTTTCTTAAGATTTATTTATTTATTTTAGAAAGAGAGAGAGAATCTCAAGCAGACTCGGAGCTGAGCCCGGAGCTTGACATGGGGCTCCGTCCCAGGACCCTGTGATCATGACGTGAGCCGAAACCAAGAGTCGGACGCTTAATCGACTGAGTCACCCAGGTGCCCATATAATTCTTAACCTTCTTATAATTTGTATTTCCAAAATTTTTCACTTAATTATTTTTCTATTTTTCCTTTATTAAAATTGCCTATCGAAGTAGAGCACACATACAGACAAGTGCACAAGTCGTAAGTATAAGCTCAAAGAATTTTCACAAGGTGATTATATTTCATTGAATCATCACCCAGGACAGTAAGTATGACTAATGTCCCAGGTACCCCTCAGGTACCAGCCACGTCCTCCTCCTCTTCAAAGGTACCTGCTCTCCTGACTTCCGAACCGCTACCTGAGTTTTATGTGATTTTTGACCTTTGTATAAACGGAAGCATAAAGTGTACTATTGTGTCTGCTCACAGCGTGCCTATAAGGTTGATCCAAAGTGTGTGTGGCAGCAGTTTGTTGCTTTTCCTTGCTGTAGTGTTTCCACTGGGTGCATACGCCACGATTTAACTTTTTATTCTGTTCATGATTGACGTCTACGTTGTTTCCAGTTATTTTTTTTTTTTTTTACTATTTGGAATAATGCTGCTATGAACATTTGCATGCATGTGTTTTGGTTCACATATGTACTCGCTTCTCTTGGGTCTGTACCTCAGGATGGACTTGCTGGCTCGTAAGGCATGTGACTACGCAGCTTTAATTGATAATGATAGTCTTCAGTTGGTGGTACCAATGACACCTTCCCCTCCCAGCACTGTTGCATCACATTGTTGGCAGTGCTGAGTGTTATCAATCTATTTCATTTTAGCCATGCTGGTGGGTGTGTATTTAATTGTGGCTTTCGGGTGCCTGGGTGGCTCAGTTGGTTAAGCGACTGCCTTCGGCTCAGGTCATGATCCTGGAGCCCCGGGATCGAGTCCCGCATTGGGCTCCCTGCTCGGCAGGGAGTCTGCTTCTCCCTCTGAACCTCCTCCCTCTCATGCTCTCTATCTCATTCTCTCTCTCAAATAAATAAATAAATAAATAATCTTTAAAAAAAAAATTGTGGCTTTCATTTACATTTTCCTAGTGACTGTGAAGTGGGAACTTTTTCCTATATGTATTCCCCTTTGGATATCCTCTTTTGTTAAGTGTCCAGTCAAGTCTGTTGCTTATTTTTCTAGAGGGTTGTCTGTCTTTTTCTTATTGACCATGTGAGGGCTCTTTACATATTCTGGATACGAGTCCTCTGTCATTGCATGCGTTGCAGCTGTCTCCTCCCAGTCTGTGGCTTGCCTTTTCATCCTCTTAATTGTGTCTTTTGATGAATAAAATTTTTTACTTTTAATGTAGCACATTTGTCTTTTTTTCTTTATCCTAAGTGCTCTACAATCCTTCGTCTATCCAAGGCCGTCTAGATATTTTTGTGTTATCTTCTAGAATTCTTATTTTTATGTTTCAAATTTAGATCTAGAATTCTTCTAGAATTTTATTTTTTATATGTTTTTATTTTAGTATATTTGACATACAATGTTACATTAGTTTCAGGTGTACAACGTAGTGATTCACCTTCTCTATATGTTATGCTATGTTCACCACCAGGGTAGCTGCCATCTGTCACCATACAATGCTATTACATTATCATTGACTATATTCCCCGTGCTGTGTCTTTTATTCCCGTGACTTATTCATTCCATAACTGGAAGCTTGCATCTCCCATTCTTCCTCACCTATTTTTGTCCATCCCCCCACCCACTGCCCTTCCCTCTAGCAACCATTTGTTCTCTGTATTTATAGGTTTGTAGAATTACCTTTTTATTTAATGTGAAGAAGGGATGAAATTCCATTTTTTTCCATATGGACATACAGATGACCCAGTACAATTTGTTGAAAAGAGATCATTTCCCCTGCAGCATCACCTTTTGTTACAAACCAAGTATTTGTGTATGTATTGGGTCTGTTTATGTGTTTGTCTGTTATTGTGTATGTATTGGGTCTGACTCTCTAGTTGGTTTTATTGGTTTATTTTTCTCTTCTTTTATTCACATATGTCTTAATTGCTGTAGCTTGGAAATCTTGATATTTAGTGCAGTGAGTGTTTTTGCCTTGTTCTTTTCATGAATATCTTGGTTATTCTTGGCCCTTTGCAATTACATATAAATTTTAGAATCAGTTCATCAGTTTTCACAAAAAATGCCTGCTGGAATATTAAGATGGCACTGAATCTATAGATCAATTTAAAGAGAATTGACATCTTTATAATATTGAGTCATTTGACCCATGGACATGGGCTATCTATTTCTTTAGGTCATCTTTAAATTCTCCCAGTAATGTTCTAAAATTTTCAATGTATTGGTCTCACACATATTTCTTTAGATTTATTCCTAGGTATTTAGGTTTTTTGATACCAAGTAAGTGGTATTGTTCTCATTTTGTTGTTAAACAAAAATTTGTTGTTAAACAAAATTTTATGTTAAATTTTTTTTTAAAGATTTTATTTATTTATTTGACAGAGAGAGAGAGAGCATAAGCAGGGGGAGTGGCAGGCAGAGGCAGAGGGAGAAACAGGCTCCCCACAGAGAAGGGGGAGCCCGATGCGGGACTCGATCCCAGGACCCCGGGATCATGCCTTGAGCCAAAGGCAGTTGCTTAACCAACCTAGCCACCCAGGCGCCCCTATGTTAAATTGTTTTTACAGGAAATAAAACACAACTGATTTTTGTGTACTTTGTATACAGTGACAGCGCTAAAACTTTTAGTTCTCATAGTTGTAGATTTTGCCTTTTTACTCATTTTCCTTATACATAATCATGTTTACAGATTTCTTCCTTTCAAATCTTTCATTTCTGCACTGGCTAAGATATCAAATACAATGGTAAATAGAAGTGGACATAGTGGGAATCTCTCTTTTTTTTTTATCTTAATGGAAATGGTTTCAATATTTTCCCATTAAATATGAGGTTTGATATATGTTCTTCGTAGAAAATCTTTATGATATTAAGGAAGTTACCTTCAATTCCTAGTTTCTTAAAGTTTTTTGAAAAATCATAAACTTGCTTTGAATGTTATCTAATGCTTTCTTTACATCTATTGAGATGATTGTATGAAAATTTTCCTTAATCTGTTAAAGTGGTAAATTATATGGACTCATTTTCTTTTTTTTAAAGATTTTATTTATTTATTTATTTATTTTGAGAGAGAGGGAGAGAGAGAGCGTGTGCGCACACGCAGATGGGGGGAGGGGCAGAGGGAGAGAGAGAGAATCCGGAGTAGAGAGCAGACTCCACACGGAGCCTGACAAAGGGCTGGATCCCATGACCCTGACTGAGATCATGACCTGAGCCAAAATCAGGAGTCATACGCTTAACTGACTGAGCCAACCCAGGTGCCCCTATGGACTCATTTGCTAATGTTAAACCAACTTTACATGTCTGAAATAAAGGTATTTGGTTGTGATGTACTATCCTTTTATGTGTATTATTAGATTTGGTTTGCTTACAATTTGTTAAGGATTTCTGTATCTATATTCATGGTAGAGATCGGTCTGCAATTTTCTGTTCTTGTAATGTCCTTGTCTGATGTTTTTCACAAATTTATCTTTTCATAGAACCATATAGAGTGTTCTTGGTCATGAGGATCCCTATTCATCCAGGTTCCTTGGTCTCAGTTTGGCGTTCACAACTTCTCTCTTCCCTCCCCGTGCACCATGACCTTGAGAATACTCAAAGGGATGGAAGAACTTTGTTCATCTTCTAAGCAGGAGAACAGGTCTCTTTAAGAGGAGCCCCTGATTTTCATGCCTTTAAAGTTTCTCTCTTTCTTGCTGTGTTCTTCCATCCCAAATGGGCCTCCCTAAATGTCTGTGGGAAGCATCAGCCAGGTGGAAAGGGCTGCTCTTGGACTCTGTTTCTGCCAGTGGCAGGTGGACGACAGCTGGCGTGGAATAAAAAGAATAGCTTGTCAGTATTAAAGCATTCTCTTTGCCCTCTCCCCCAGACACTTACACCTTCTTTTCTAGCCATCGGTTACAATAATTTCCTGGATATTTAGCGATCTTCTTAAGAAGCGATAAGCACCTCATCTAATATCCAGCAACACATCCTTTTACCTCTTACATAATTTCTACATTTGTTTGTGAAGGTTTTATTACTAGACTGTGAGTCGTTGGAGAGAAAATATTTCCATGGTGGAATAGGTAGGCCTCGTTTGCTGATTGACTAACAGATGATGGAGAAGGGGTGTCTAAGCACGATTTCCAGTGTCTGACCTGAGAAACTAGATGGAGGGCAGCACTGGCTCAGGAAATATGAAAGGGAAAACACGTTCAGAGAGCAAGGAGGAAGGTGTCATTTTGCACCTGATGAACCTGTAGGATGTTCAAATAGGAAATCTCGAAGGTGGTTAGCGATGGATCTAAAGCTTCCGAGGCAGGGTTGGCTGGATACAGATTTGGGAGCACGCAGGTGGTCACTGAGGCCCTAGGAACGGATGAGGGCACCTAGGGGGAATGTGTAGAGCTAGTTACACACTCTTCTACTCCTTTTTTTTTTTTTTTTTTTTAAAGATTTTATTTATTTTTTTGACAGAGAGAGACACAGCGAGAGAGGGAACACAAGCAGGGGGAGTGGGAGAGGGAGAAGCAGGCTTCCCACTGAGCAGGGAGCCCGATGCGGGGCTCGATCCCAGGACCCTGGGATCATGACCTCAGCGAAGGCAGACGCTTAACGACTGAGCCACCCAGGCGCCCCTT